ATGGCAAATGCTACAGGTATGTCTTGTTTGGTTTTGGTGCTGTCCTCAGTTTCTGGAATATCTTCTCTTTTACATTGGTCATAGCAACTTGACATGTTTTGATCTAATATTTCCGTTTTGTTCTGTCTCTCTTCCTGGAAATTGTCCATTTCGTGATCCACTTGTGAGCCATCGGAAGGTGGTCTTTCATTTTTAATGGATTCTCCCTTTAAAAAAAAATACATACAAAACCAAAGGGCAGGCGTTGTAAGACTCAACATTCTCAATTACAGGTCTACAATGATATTTATACATTTTAAAAAGGAGGAAAGCAAGCTTTCTCCTTTTTTTTTCTGATTCTCAAGTTTATGCTATAAACATTTCTAGCCAATAAGACAACCAGTTCCCCGTTATCCCCTCTTCCTCCTTTACAGCTTGTGGATGTTTGATGCCACACGTTGTCACAACACGCTGATAACATTTCAGGACCGTTTTGGCAAGAACAATTTCAAGCAGCGTAATAATTTACAGAGATGCCAAAACGTTCATCAACGGAGTAGAAAGCAATCCAGACTCAGTTTCTCTGTAGGTATCAAGTGTATTGGAACCTCTCATTCTCTTTATGTGCTGTATTATTGTGCCTACAACAATCCAGCACTAACAGTGTACAATGTTGGAAATAAATAATTAGAAGGTACCAGGATTTTGGGGCGTTCTCTGTCCAGCAACTTTGATGTGTCCACCTTCCCTCCTAGCACCCCTAAAGCCACAATGAACGCCAGGCACTGTATGGAGATGAGCCACCTGAACTGCTCCAGAATCACTGTATAAATAAGTGAGTTTTGAAATAATGTTTTGGGAGTTGGTTTATTTTGACTAACATCTTCTTGGAAATGAGTATTTGGAGGGGGAAGAGTGTGGAACAAGGAGAGAAATACAGCTGGATCCTAGGTTGGCCTTTCAAAGAGAGGTGTTGTATTCATACTCTGTATTCTGCCTGGTGCTTTGCAAATGCCAACAAGATTGTGTGATATTTTATTTTTATATATATATATATATATCTAAAAAAACAAACAAAACCAGCCACCCAAACATCAGCAAGGACAGCAAATGAACGTCAACTTTTCAAGTGTAATGTTATTTAAAACGCCTACATGCTGGTAGGCTCCTAAGTCATTTTGAAAATGAGTAGGTGGCAAGATCATTAAGCTAGAAAATGGCATTTTAAAAATAATTTAACTTACCAGAGAAGTATCAAGACTTTCCTCGTCCCTTCTATACCTTTTAATCAAATTATTCTCCTGTAATGCTTGTGGTCTTTTAAGGCACCTCTGTGATGAAGTTTCTGACTTTGTAGTCAATCTTTCTTTAGCTGCCAAGGACTTTGTTGGCTCATCTGTAGCTATCTGATTGTCCCCTTCCTCAGTGGTTATTTTATTTAATACTTCTGCGTTAGGACTCTTCATTCCAGTTACATTAGCACACGGTAGAGGCTGCAACATGAAACTTGGGCTGTACGTTGTCACAGTGTGGGCTTGGGAAGGGTGCAGATAGATCGCGTATGAAACACCAGAAGGAGCGTGAGGTAGGATGACTGGTGAGACCGAACTGTGGCTCGGAGGACAGACAGCCAGCGGCTGCGCCAGAGCCGGCTGCTGAGAGGGTGCTGTGGTGCCAGGAGGCTGCGGCTTGGGGACTACCTCAGGCGAGGATAAATTGCATTCCAAAGCAGATCTTGACAATTTCATCTCGTTTGCTTTCCTTAAAAAAACAAACAAACAAAACCCAAATATATTTTAATAGCTTCATACAGAAACGATTGCCCCGACAAATTATTTTCTGCAATACAAAGCCTTAACATAAACTTGTGCTTCTCAATCCACCTAAAAGAAAATAAATGAAAAAAAAATACCCTGCAGTCTCAGGGATTACCATTTTTTGCAGACTATTGCCCAACTCAAACTGAGCACAGCTTTAACTTAATAGCCAGCAACAAAATAAAGCTTCTGACCTTAACGCTTGTGCAAACTTACTTCGATTGTCCTTCCAGCTGATGTCTAGCGATTGCTGGAACCATTTGCCTTGGGAAAGCTGATAAATTTTGATCAGTACCTGGTTGGAGGGGGAAAACAAAACTGTTAGTACATCAAACATAGAAGTTAACAGGGTCTCCTCAAGACAAAATCTATTTAACATGGCGCACACATTTAATGAGAAGACACTGAGAGTCCATGTTATCCTCAGACTGCACCCCAGGCTTGATTTGATCAGTTGGACGGTAGCTTACATCAAACAAACTTTATACCCTCAGCTCCATTTTTCTTCCCTCTGGAGAGGCTACCTAACAAGAACATGAACATTGATAGGTAATTTTCTGGCAATTTTACAGAATACAGAACTGCATAGATGTGAGATCTAAAGCACAGCTTCCACAACAAACCAGGGCTGGGGCAGTTCATAGATACAACATCCCGACATCAGCTATGCTGCACACACACAGGTTAGTAGCCAGTAAGACATCACACAAAGTCAAGATAGTGATTTGTAAAAAAGGATTTAATATTCCTAAACCTGAAGGAGTAATATGCTCCTGCTTGTGTATTTGGTGTGAAAGAGGAAGCTAGAGTTCCCTACGGTGTGCCCCTAAACTGGAAATTAGCTTCTACTAATTGCAGAGCTTATGCACTGAACACGGATTGTTTTAGCTTTGTCTTCAATCTTGTAAAGCCTCAAATTTACATGCAACGTGTATCTTCCTCATCTTGTCTATTTTTGACAATTCTTAAGACCTGTTTGTTGTAAGCAGGCAGACTCACACATCCCCATCTCCTATGAGAAGATGGCAAGCCTGAATATGTAATGCAAAGTTACATCTGAGTTAAAAACAAATTTAGATAAAGATATGTACTTGCGCTTGTTTTAACTGGACTGGTCGGAGCAGATTGGATCTTTCTTCTGTCATTTTCTATACTTTTAACTAACTTTATTAGAGATGGATGCCGAGTGAAGTTCTGCTTTCCTCTTGAAGGAAAAAGGTTTTTTGAACACTGCTCTTTGGAAGCGATGGGTTCTGAAACAGGTGGGGGACAGGTTGTAGAAGTTGTTTCAAGTTTTGTATCTAAAAAGCGGAAAAAACCGCAAAGATTAAATACATATCATATGCAGATTCAGTAATTAAAAGCAGTAATTTAAGCCTGGCTTATAATTATTAAAGTCCTATCAGGAGCAAAAATGGAAATGCAAGAGTCTCCATATGAGCACATCCACCATGTGGAAATAGATACTGGTGTGCTCACGCTGTCAGAGGCCAAGGACAGAGATGTGACTACTCAAAACTTTCTGCTTAGTTTACTTCGACGTTTAGTCCAAAAATTTCTAGCAGAGACATCAAGAATCAGTCAGCAGAAGGAAAGGGAAGGACACGCACACCTACCCTGAATATATGGCAAGACCTCAGGTCCTGTCCATTTGAATGCTGGTTTTCTGCCTCTCTCCTCTGTAACGTGAACTTTCTTGATAAGCTGAAGGCTACTGAGAACATTTGCTATGTCATAAAGTCTCCTAATTTTGGCTGAAATAAAATAAACAAATGTAAAATATAGCAATTCCAATTAACAAGTTAACATATATCAGATTAAAAATGTTATAATGCCCTTTTAGCAGCTAAAAGGAAAAACCTTTATAATTTTTTTATATGAACGATTTTGTGGAACAGGCATTTACACTATGAAATAACATATCACAATAGAGAGCTTTTATGTAAAATACAATGACATAGATATACAGATCTAGAAAAGAAAATAGAGCTAAGCATATTATGCTAAATACAGAAAAAATAATTTTCAAAACAAGTTAGATTCTGTGTAATGACCAAACCCACACCAATTCTGTTGTGAAAATAAGTAACTTAAAAGGCAGGTACATGCATGCAGCGGTGAATGTGGGAAGCAGGGGCAAGAGGCAAACTAAAATCCAACAGGATAATCATCCTGTATGTTCCTAACTGGTTCTAGGTTGAGGTTGTAGGTAGAGAAGTTTTAGGCAGCAGCCAAATGACAAGTGACTTCTGGACTGCAAAGTGAAGGTGCTTTAGGGCAAAGCTTCTGCTATGGAAAAATTAAAGTCTAGCAAGCCAAAGTCCCAAACTTGGGACTATGCTTCTTAACCAAGAGCGTGGTAAAAGGTGATCCCTGAAATACAGACAGATGGATGGAATGCCCTGAAAACACTGTTAGTGTGAGACAGACCTTAGGGAGGAATAATTAGGAATGAAAAACAAACCAAACCCCCTCTTGACTCCCCAGCCACCCTCTCTGTATTGCCATGATGCAGTGGAAAGGAAATTCTGAACTGAAACCAGCAAGGATCAGTTTCCTTTTGGCATAGGTACAATTCCACAAAAAAAACCCCAATGGAGTCTGAAGGTAGGGTGTAATTTTCAATGAAACCCACAATTCATTCTTGATCTCTCAAGAACAGGCACTTTTAAAAAAAATTATTATAGATATACAGGCCTAGACCTAGAAGTACCTTCTAATTTGAATGGAGAGGAAGAGGAGGAAGCGTGCAGGGAACTGAGAGAAGAAGTGAAAAAAAGAAAGAATGAAGAAATATTGTCAGTTACAGCATTGGATTTCACTTCCTCTCATGTCTAAGTTATTAACAGGACTTTTACAGAATTTTTTTAGATTTCCAACAAGTAAGTTATATGACCAGAAAACAGATTTGCATAATTCTAGGGTATGTTTGTCAAAAGGATGCTGAAATCTTTGACAGACTGCATGAGAAAAGAGAAACTGGTACCAAAAAGCAGCCTCGTGACATTACTTCAGGAGAGAGGATTTAATGGACTGCTACGTGGTCCTTAGGTCGTTCTGTATCAATGACTATGTACAAGTGGGTCCCTGTTGAAAACTGCACAAGGTGTTCAGTGAGTTTTTGGGAGCTCAAAAATATTTACGGCAGGAAAAAATGATGGTATTTTACACTATACAAACTATAGCAGAATAGTTCATTTAACTTACACTTGATATTTTACTTACTTTTAAACTTGCTTTTATCTAAGTCTTCTAACTGGTCTTCTCCAATCAAGATTTTAGCAGCAACTTCAAGGCTTACTATTTGAGGAGTCGATACAAGAAACAGCATCACAAATTTCTGACTCATCACTCGTAAAGACTTGTCTTTCCTGCTGTTTACTGATGCTGCAGCAGACAGGAGAAAGGATTAAAGTAGTAAGTGACACACCAGCTACAGATGTTTTTAAAACACTGAAGAAATTTGTCAGTAACAATTACTATAAAATCAAACAACACAGCAACTAGGCAGGGCGGACATGGACTCCAGAATCATGTTTCTACACAGCAAGAATCAGATAATTAGGTGGATACCAAGTCTAACTACAAAGAAGAGAGTGTGATGTTTCCCCTTGTAGACATTTCCTTTTGTCTGACAGCTTGTACTCTTAAAGAAGCTTAACTGCAGGTTATACAATGTATTTAACAATCCTTAATTAACCTTTCCTCCATGAATCAAACCTAGATTAAAAAACAAATTAATGGAGTAACTTATATTTTTGGCTTCTATAATATTCAATGGTAATAATAGAGAATTAGTACCAGCACGAAATTCCATTCCTGGGAGCTCGACAAAAGACATTTCTGAATGCTCATTAGAGCCAAAAGATCTTGCCATTTCTTCATTTCTTTCACCATCGAGATCAAATTCATGCTCGTACTCTCTTTTCTTGATCATCTGAATTTGCTGTGTATATTTGTTCTCTTCTCCAACTTTTTTCAGAGCCTGCAGGGTTTTGGAGAGATTATGCCGCCCGTGCCAAGCGTATCTGTTTTTGGCAAGGCGGCTCACCATGTGTAGGCTCTCCAGCACGTTCACAATATCGTATATGCGTCTACGTTCAACATCTGGGAAAAAAAAAAAAAAAAAGATGAACATGACATCTCTACTACACAAAATATGTTTCATTGTACATTTGCCTGAAACATGATTTGCACAGAGAAGGGACCAGTTTCATATATTTCCCCCTCCTCTTAATATACTTCTAAGCCATTTTTGCCAATTTTGCATTACAAATATGGAGCCCTCCTGGATCTTGCCAGCAAGGAAAAGAAAACAATTCTTGCTTTAGGTACAGAAGGACTTGTTTTTCCACAGTTATACTTGGTTTACAGCTTTCCTTAAGAAATAAAACTTACTGTTGCCAGGAGAGCCATTAGACAGGTTTCAATACAGCTTTAAAAGAACCCAAAGCATTTTTAATTATTCATTGCATCGATTTTAGATTGTCTCATTAAATAACCTTGGCAACGCACAGCAGACAATCATTTTGTAACTTGTTATGTTATTCTATTAACACACTGTCCTTCTCTCTTTTGTTTGTTAAATTCTTGGTTTTGACGAGGCATTTTCTAAAAGAGATGTTATTTTGTACAAGGTATAAATAAATAAAAGTTTTGTTTAATTTGCAGTTCATCCCTTTTCTGTGTCCCCCAACGTACTCTGAAGATATAACAACACCAAAAATTTTACAGCAGTATGATTTATAACTCTTACCAATGATATAATCTGTAGAAAACTGTAATTTTGTAGCTCTTTGATAAAAAAAAGCTTCAGCTTAATTTTAGCAACTTGGACTCTCAGTAGATCATTGGTGCGATATAAAAAGAGTGATATGAAATGATAAAGTTAAATTATCATAGAGAGCAGAAAGTAGTTTCTTGCTTTGATGTCACGACTGGACAGGAACTTGTGGGTTCAGCTTGAGAAACGCTAGTTCCTGCCACAAAAATCCAACCACTAATCTTAGCTGTCATCTCTAAGGTCCAAAAAACTGAAACTGGTTATTTGTGGCATCAGCAATAATTTAGATGTTTAATATTAAACGTAATTCAGAGTTTCTCGATTCAGTTCACTGAATAAACTTTAGCTTTTTGAAAAGATTGCTCTAAGAATGGCTTAAAGCTGGGTTTAAGGAAGTTCGAGAGTACACAGTAAGCATTCAAAATTTTATGGAGCAAAAGTGTTCCAACACAAGTGGCAGGTTATGGGCACATTTGTATGAAGAAATATACAATAGCATAGACACCAACTTACTAAGCTCTTCAGCTACTTCATCAAGGCAAATGTAATTATTCGCTGCAGGGCTGGGGTAATCAGGGTATCGAGCTAAGAATTTATGACACAGTAATCCTAGACTTTTCTCTTTGCGACTTGGTTGAGATTTTTCATATTCATCTCCCGATAAGTGCTCCTACATGGAAAAAAGAAAAAGAGAATTTGGATTTTTTTTTTACAATAACTATATAAATACGAATATTTAACAGTGTTATTGTGAGCACTGTCAGAGGCTCAGTGTTCTCCCTTTGTCCTCAACAGTTGTGAAATAAAACCGATAAAATATTACCTGTTGTATGTAACTAGGCAATATCCTTACTTGTATTTGGTAAATGCTCCAAAATCAAAACTTTAAAACGTTAACATGTAACTTTTTATACTGAATAAACAGCCTTCAGATAACTTAACAAAAAGTACAGAAGACACCTTTACAACATACCTGCAAACAGGGTTTTGCCTGTAGCACCTCCCTTGCGTTGTTTGACAGTTCCCTCCTCTGTTCTCTGCTCCTGATCTCAGGACTAGCTGCGCTGATCAGCATCTTCAGGTTCGATGTGGGCGTCCATGGATCTGCTGGAAGGATTTCTTTAGGTTTTGGGGGTGTGGTGAGAGGCTGACAGTCGGGCTGGAGCTCTGTCAATACTGAATGTGAGGTAGCTGCTTGTTTCAACGGAGTTTTCACTACGCTCCTGCATGGCTCAGAATGATTTTCCTACACGCCAAGAAAAAGAAAAAAACCCCGCGATGTTAAAAACCAGAAGCGCTATAATCCGTTTGTTGGTAACAGTCAATGCGGGACAGGGATCAATCACATTTTTTGGGGGTAGCTCAAAGGTTGCAGCCTGACTCCGAGCCAATGAACCCCTTCCCCAAAACCGTTTCTGTGACTCTGCCTTCAGCTGAAGACGCAGGGACCGTGGGATGCTTCAGATAATTTTATTTTTCTCTCCCTCTAGGGAAAATTGAGTGAAGGTTGGTCCGTGGCAGAAAGCTCTGAAGAACGAGCAAAACGCCTTTTTTTTAAGGAAAAAAAAAAAAGGGGGGGAACTGGGAAGGAGTCCTGCTCGTGACAAAGGTCGCCGGGTGAGGTTTTGGGTGATTTCGCCAAGGCCGGACCCTGACGTGCGGGTGAAACGCCTTCGGCTGCTGCCATCCCCCCGCTTCCACGCGCTGCTCCGCACCCAGGCGGTTTCACGGCCAGCGAACGGCGGCGCACGGGCACCCCGGG